ATTATAATTTATTCCGGTCCCAGGCAGAAACGCTTCCGTCGTCGGCAAAATAGTCTATCTTCGAGATCGTGTTGCAATATATCATAAGTCGTGATTTCACCGTATGTAGAATGTGAATCCCTCCTATGGTTTACTTATTGTTACATACCGTGTATCTTCCTCAAATCGAAATAAATATCTTCTCTTAAGTATTATTTCTCGGTTTAATCATATTAAAAGAAGTATTTATTTCTTCGATACATTGTCTGAATTATTTTTTAAAAATCGTTTCATGACCTAATCAACAGAAATAATTGAATCGTAATATTTTATATTTTAAATTCTACTGCAGTTTATATGCAAGTATATGACAAATAATTAATAATAAATAATTTTTATTGTACTGTATCGTCATTATGACTATGTAATAATTGCAGCTTTCATAGCAACGAAGTCGGAGGACATACTACTCCTCCACTATGAAATGCTGAAATGAGGTTACTTCAATATTTATTACTTTAATTGAAATATTCGTGATTCATTAATTCATACTGATATATTCATATGGATGTCTGTCTTCTGCAAATATTTATACTGATTTTATAATTTAATTTTATAAACAATATATTCTCACAAATCAAATATATGTATGTATATCCAGATTAATTGTTAAAACTGCAATGTGCAGGAAGAGCTAATAAACCCTAAATACCCTGAATTATTTACTACTAGTTACTACTCACGGGTATAATAAATAGTAGGGGTCATTATGCTCGCAAAAAAATTCTACGTAATACAACACTCCCCCAAGCCGATTCGGATCCTACAAAATGATCGGAGGAACAAACATTTATATTATATTATAATGTTATCGGTGCTACAGGAGACTAGAGGAAGTCGTTACAAAGAACTTTATCGAGTAAGAACTATAGGACCCCATTATAGAAGTGGAGATTGTAGAAAATCTATAACGACGCATGGAATATTATAATTTATTCTTCAAAGCACAATATTGATCATTTAATAAATTAGTGATAATGAAAGGTAGAGGTCTATTATACTTGAAACATTAATAGTAATAGTAAGAATTGAAATTCTAATAATAATACAAATTGGAACATTGATAACGATTTGAAATCAATTTACTTTATTATTTAATATTGAAATTGTAGGTTCTCTACATTTCATTTCAATAGAAGAATAATAAAATTAAACAAAATGGGAAATGTTATAATTTATTCTTAGAATGGAATTAATTGAAGTATAACACATAGAGATACTTACATATTCTTGTATCCTAGAGAAATTTTATCCTCTTGAGAAAACACTGACTCTAATACCGAAAACGAATATCAAAAAAAGATATGTATGAAAGAAAAGAAAAATAAAAGGCTACAAGCTCGTCCGTTCGGTTTACTTTGTAATCGACGAACAAAAACTTTAATCTCGCGTGTTATCATTATAATTAATAATTATATAATTTAATTGAGCTATTGCACTCTGAAAAATATTTAAGAATTTATTGCACAAGAAGCACTGACTCTACTGATCGCATTGCGCGCGGTCACAAAAATTTTCTGAAAATAAAACTAAAATAGTCGAAGAGGTTAGGTTTAATAGATGTAATTGAATTGATTTGCAAATATTATATCGTGAATGTTCCTTACAAAAGACAAAAGCACATTTTGTAAGAATAAACTACGTAATGTTTTATAAATATGCAAAAATACTTGTAAAACATTAAAAATTCCCGAACTAAATATGCTTGAGCGTAATGACACCACACAAACTCGCGTCTAACCTTATTTCGAAATCCATGTTATCGCGCTTCCTCCCAACCATGGTAGAAAAAGGTTATGTATAATATTTACGAACCACGTTACTAGGCAATTTACAACCAAAACGTCACCGAAACGTAAATGGAAATGTAAAGGTTATTTCAATTTCTTACTCGAGTCGTTTTCAAATTACATATTTAGAATTCCACAATATAAATTGAAACAATAAAATAACACGTTTAGTCTATTTAATATAAGAAAATGAATTAATGATAATTAATTAATATTAGTACTAAAATTAATGCACAGAAACGTTCTTGGAATCTTTTCTAGCTTCATCTTGGTATTTTTAATAAACTATGTAATTATTTATGATAATTAGTTATCTTACATATTAAGCGATTGTGTGATGTGTGACTGATTTGACACACATATGTATGTATGTATGCATGCATGTATATCATGAAATAAATAGAAAAAGTATACCAAATATTATCAATGCCCCAATGAAAACGTATATCTGAATTTATTACAATAAATTTAACGTTACTAAATCTCCATGAAAAAGCATCAGGCTGTTCGTTAATCACCATAACGTTCTTATATTAACCTCCTTATATCATCCATGTTAGCAATAATCTTTATGCAAGAAAATCAAGAATTGAAGACAAACCTATAATGTTGATACCAATTATATTAATATAAAATAATAATCTCATTCGAATCTTGTCTCGAAAGTAGGATTCTGACCACCAAATAAACGATCCATGACCGAAGAACGAAAAAAAGTCGAGTGACTGATTTTGTTATAATAATGTTCCATAAAGTACCAAATAAACGCGTATTAATGAAGCGAAGCTAATATATAATAAAATACACTCGGTAACGAAATAACAAGGGAAGTAACACTTAAATATGTAATAAGTTACCTTAGGTTACGTTACGTACCATGAGCAAAACAATACGTCTTATCGGCCCGATTTTCGATATTTGACTGATGCCCCCCATCATGGCGTCACTACGCGAACTTTTAATGGGTGGAGATTCCGGTGCGCCTCTTAAACATAACCGTGCGTCGAATTGAAATTCCGTACGCTTAGAAATTTTATATTATTGAATGTCTAATAAACAAAATTAAGAAATAATAAAGGTACATAAAATTAAGAAATTGTTTTTTATATAATATAATTCCAGAATATATACTTCATAAGTATAGATTATTATAATTAGTAATTATTATCCATATGTTTTAGGAATTGTTAATATTATTAATACTGTCAAAACAATCACTATTATTAATATGACTATTATAATATGTTACGACCGTTCGCGGAGAGACGCGGTCGCTAGGAAAATGCGTCAGCGAGAGGCGTAAATTCTCGCTACGATTATGTTAATCAACGCCGCGAAATAGTCGTTCCCCTGTTTCGGTTAAGATAACAGAGGTGGTTTAATGAATGTAACACTGTATTAACAGGTTAACATAGAATAATATATTTTACAATAATATGATGAATATGTTACAGAAATTTGACTCGACTTTGCGATATCTCTAGATAAATTCGTTTGCTCGTCAGATTTGTCGAAGTGTCACGTTAGACTCGTCAGAAGGAACTGAACGCCCTTCGATTATTCCTTTGTCTCATTTGGAAGACGACCCTCACTATGCTCGGGTCACGCCACCGCCCGCGCCCCACTCTGCTCGGGTCACGCCACCGCTCGCGTCTATGATCACGTATGCCTCTTCTTGTGTGAAAACGTAACGGTTAAAAATCGACGTTTCTAGAGCTCGCTGCTTGGCGACAACTATGCTCTCGTCGATACATTGTATATGATCCGGCGGGCAGATAAGACGGTTTGCCTGCGACGTTGTAGGACCGCGAGCGACGGTTAGAAAATACAGCCTGTGGTAAGCCTCGTGGCGTAACATAATACGTTATTTAATTATATTCACATAGCTATTGCTAGCTAATTTCAATAAAAGATGTCAAATGAAAAGATCGTCCTAGAAAAGTGTTCTTTGTTTCTCTAATTAAAATACGTTAATTAATGGAAAAACTGGAGGAATATTCAATCGTATGAATATTCGTATTAAATATAAATATTACTTTGAGAAGAAAAAATATATTAAAAGTAACTTTTAGTGTTTCTACTACAATTGACTATAATATTCCATAGAACTCTCCAAACTGCTGTACAACTACATATAGCACAGAGGAGAGCAATGCATATGGCCACTTTCCGCGTGCGCGACCTACGAATTTACGAACATCCTGGACTACCACTATCTTCCCTCCACTTGGACATGTAGCGCATCCATGCCGACACAAATACGAACATTTCGCTGTCGACACGCCACGGGCATGTTTTCTCAGCTGGTGCCCTAACTCTCGATCTCGAACGATCCTCCTTTCCCCGTCTTCCGTGCTATGGTGCAGACCTGGTGGATCCTTTCAAGACACGGTCGGCTACCCACAAAGGATCTGCCCTTTCATACGCACGTTATTATACTCTTTACAGAATATCGTTCCACCTTTTCCCTTTTAGAAGGAAGGAGAAGGTAGAAAACGCAGAGAAGGAAGAAAAAGGAGGACTCTCAGCTTGATCATGTGCATGTTGGTGTTTTACACGTGTATATATACATACGCCTACGCTTTGTGAATCGAGGCTAAAGGCAGGGTGGACGTTTCGACGAAAGCTTCGAGATTTTCTTGTTTAATTTGTTGTTATAGCTGCTTGAGACGCACAGATCAGCCCATTCGCTCAGTCTACGATCCTCAAACATTCATTATGTTTTTTTGTAACACATCCACCAATGCGACTAGAATTGCGGCTTTTGCACGCCACCCTGTTTGCTCTCCAGTTGTGCAAAGATCTGTATTTCACCGCGTTCACCATCCTGCTAACCGTCTTTATTAATCGAGGGAATACGAGGGCGGATTATGGGGTTGCTATTGTGCGTGTGGTGGGGGGACTGCGAAATGTGGGCACTGCCTAAGGAAAGAGATTGAAAATACTAAGCGATTAATGATGTAATAACTTAAATATCTCTGAATATTCCAGGATTCTTTCACTTAGAAAGTAAAGAACAGCTTTAATAACAGCTGCAATTAAGACATTTTATGTCTTACATCCAGATCTTGAACTTTATAATTTTTTACTCAATTCTCTACTATTTCATTACTAGTATGTACAATTAAGAAGATACAAATTTATTAAATACAAATTTCATACAGCTTGCAGAATGTTATATAAATTGTAATAATTAAGAGACGTTAGCATATTCAAGTAACTATTTACACAGCAAAAGCCGGCGTTCGTATTATCATATGTATTTTTCAACTTGAATAAGAATGAAACGATAATGCGTGATGGACTGAAGTTGAACTCACGAAATTCAATTGAGCAATTAATCACATCCTATCGACGATTGCATCACGCTTTGCATCTGATGCGATTACGAGATGGTATTATCGCGGTCCATTAGCGATTGTTTGTAAGAAACAGCAAGTCAATTTTCCGCGTTCGATGAATCGTGAGAAATTCAGTTCAGACAGTCTAGAAAACTTAGTGAACCGTTTACAGGCCCTAGACGGATATCTTCTGTCTGATTTGGCACATTTTCCTCTCCGCTTTCGGAATGTACTGTTAGCTTTCCTCGACGAGCATTATGCTTCACAAAATCTCACGACGAATTGGAAGATACATACATAAACGATGTATTTCCTCTTAAGAAATTATTCTTCGGTATGGATGGCTCCGTAGATTGTCAGTATCTTCCTACACGATCTGTAAAAGTAGACAGGAACACGTGACGTGCGTTTCTCGAAGGAAATACTGGACCCATGCATTCTAAAAGAAGTTGATTTCTCTCTTTTACGGCGGTTTTGAAATCCTCTTCTGATACCGCGCCATCGCGATCCACGTCTAGCTTTTTTATTAACAAATCTATCAAGTCCTATAAAACGAAAAATATATTACAACTATTGGCTTGAATCGAGAGAATTTATTGAGAATTTAAGGAAAATGTAAAAGATATTGAAATTCGCATAGCAAAATATACTATTTTGCTTGTGATCCAATTATTAAAGCATTCTAGTACGATACCTGCACATATATAGTTTACTATACCTTCACAGCTTCTTCTGGGTTTTCATCATTCTGCAATTTAATTAAACATCCGCGCATCATAGGAAATATATGCTCCTTTTTTAATTTGTGAGTTCTCATGTTATCGTACACCTAGAATTGAATTTCGGGAAGGACGGTAAGAAAATTTATTAAGGGAATAATATTGGTTGAGCGTAGAAAGATGGTTGTATACTCTATAAGCAAAATGAATTTTTTCGTCTAAAGTTCCGCGAAGAATCACCGACAGACCTTCGACCCATTGTTCAGAGTATATCTAAATTATAATTTACAATAATTAATCGATATTTAATACTTTTAAACAGTTGTTTACCTGCAAGGCATTTCGTTTGTCGACGACGGAAAACATTCTGTCGATCAATAAATGACGAATATTTTTTGTAAAATCCAAACTAGCGTGGAAAATGTTTCGAAATATTAATCTGCTTATTGGACCCAGCATTTGCACGCATTTACGATGGATAATTGACAAAGCTACCAATAAATTAATCAGACCAATAAAAAACATGAAAAATTGTGACACAATGAATTTCTAACCTTCAACTTCTCTCACATCAAAGTGCGTACTGCGTGCCAATCTTTTGAACCTTGGCATATTTTTCGTTCTGTAAACGATTTCTGCCAAGGTGTCATTTAACATATCTATTGGCTGTTCTGCCGGCATTTTGAATAGTTATACTTGTGAATTTTGGTCACGAAATTTGAAAAGGCAAGTTATCTCTTGAACGACGTCACGTATCTTCAGATTTGTTTTTACACTACGATAGATTTTTTCTATTATTTTCTAATTTCATGGTGTTCTATGTATTCTGGTGCTGATGATGACATTAATGTAAGGATAAAATATTTCTCAGAGTCAACGAATGACTTATCGGTGCGCATGTTGACGCTTTTCCGAGAGCAACTGGAAAAAGTCCACTACCTTGAAACATCTTATATACAAAGGTGTAGGATAACGGGCGAAGAACAACGAAGGTATCTGTCTCATTGACTTGGCAATGAGAACCGTGCATTTTGTAACAGCGAATTTACTGTATCAAGTTGTAGTCAGAGATTGACAGAATTGTAGAGACAGCATAGTGTAGTTTTTATTGCATATACAAAATATTAACATTTTATAAAATATATTTCTTATATTAAAGTTTACTTGTGCAATACCACTTATCACAAGTAGAAATGCACTAGACATCGCAGCGGCCCATTAGCTCAGTTGGTTAGAGCGTCGTGCTAATAACGCGAAGGTCGCGGGTTCGATCCCCTCATGGGCCAAATTACTTTTTTTAAATTTTATTTAACATCCAATGCTGTAATTTTCTAACAATTTGAGCAATAATTTTATAATGCTTTTGAATACATAGATATATAGATAGAAGAAAAGTAATCACTTGAAATGAAGGTTTACTGTAATAATGTATACTGCACTTTACCGCATGTTGAAATAGCGCTTCGTGGTTTACTCATATTAATTTACATTTATACATTGAATCTAGTATATCTTATGTAAGGAGATCTGAGTTTCTTCTATTAACAAGTACTACGTTCATTCAAAATTCAATATCTGCAATATATTTTATCTCCTCTAAATGACTGTCACTTGCTACATACTATTGCACAATCTTCTATCGTGAAAGTGATAAGAAACTTCGATTACCCAACTCGCTGCGATATCTGGCTTGCAAATCTAACACAAGCATTCATACCTAATCCTTCTCTTCCAGAAAGTCATAAGAAAGATTACCATAAAAGCGTGTCCAGTTTCACGTGGAAAGTTGCCGCGAAATAACTCACAATAAGAAAGATCATAAAAGATTCTCACGTGGTTACGATATTTAAGTGAAAAATAAATTTAAAAGCAAGACCAATGATTGGTCATCCGCTTGGCTTTCGTATTTGTTTCGGGAAACTGTTCAACTATTATAAAGGGACGCCAACAAAATTCTTCCTAAGTATATCTAATGACATCATTTGGATGAACCACGGAATATACACAACGTCATGAGAATTTCGTTTATCGTGTAAAAATATGGAAACGACTTAAGAAACATCCGCAAAGATGACCATGGAGTTCTGAGGACATCGGCCATGTAGAAGAGGTTGGAGATACAGGACTGGAATATTATATGGGGTTCGAGGTCCTATGGGAATAAACGAACAGAATACGAAGTTTTGGCTCCTTCTCCTGTCACATGCGAATTGTCGCGTGATGTTAGAAACCGACGGTTACTTGGCTTTGAACGTAGGACGAAGATTTACAGTAAGATATACATTAAGATTCTTGGAAGAACGAGGTTAAGAATTTATGCAGGGTTGCATGGAAGGTTGAAGTTTTATGTGAATGAAGCTAAACTTGTGAATGAATATAAATTGAGCAAAGCTAGCTACGCGATGTTCATTGTGATTCCGTGAAGGGTGGGATAATTGAGGAAGAAATGGATTGTGCTTGGAATTAATGAACGAACAAGACCTGTATGCAACTAGTAGCTGCATAAAATTAATCGCGAATTTGTGCAGCATAGAATAATTAAAATTTTAATATCTTTCTTTTTTGGAATCCTTTTAACAAACTTGAAATTTTTCAAAAAATGAAAGTAACAAGAAATTTCAATTTATTTTTCAATGTTCTTTTATTTTCAATTTATAAATTGTCAATCTTACTTGATGTATTTCCATCTTTGTCACATACTTACGCTCACTTCGAAAATCTCATCTAAACATTACTGTTTCCTGTCAATCGCATCTTAACATTTTTTAGCGATGTAAAGATTAATAGAATTTTACCATAACCGTACTATGTCCATTTCTCATCTTTCTTTAATCCTCCATCGCCACCACTGAATTTTCAGCAAAGTGAAAGACTCCTCCAACCTATGGCGATGCGAACGTAGCATCATCGAGCATACTCGCGAGGCATTTCAATGATCCGAGCTCGGGCCGACCCCTGTCACCGTTAAGCACTCAATCAAGCCCAACAGGCTTCGAGCGAAACAATGCGCGTTCGTGTGTACTCGCGAATGAAATCTTGAGTCGCGCGTGGGCGTCGCGCTTGATAATATGCATTCGCGACGAACAACGAGCCTGATCCGCGACGACAGACCAAGCGGGGACGCACGAACGGCCGCAAGAAGTTCCCTTCTCGCACGGTCCCTGTAATCACGGGCTCATTAGTCCTCCGCCGGCGGATAAATAACGACGAGGGAAGAAGGCAGCCGCATTGTTTCGCGTAAGTGGGCATCCACGAGTACCAACCACGGTTGGATCGGTTTCAACGAAAGGCGCCATAAGCAGTTGCTCGACTGGACCTCGTGGTAGGAGGTGGAGAGGGGACGAAAAGAGGGAGGCAAGACGCGATGGAGAGAATTCCTGGTGTCTTCTCGGGCTTGAAACCGAACGACCGTAATCTTGGGCTATCTAACGTTGTAAACGTAGCGAGGTGATGATTTGCGACCTCCCCGCAGCGAACGTGGAACGCTCGAAGGAAGGAACGCCGGGGCCAGCCTTCTCTTTTTCTCTCCCCCTGGACCCCTTTAGATTCAATTTCGCGGGGCGTCAGCACGCTGACGCGACGTCCGCCCACCTTCTTGCGGGACGTTGATGTACGATACGGTGCACCGGGCCGGACGCGTGAAACTTCGGGAGATTCGCGCGAGACCGGATTGTTTTTCGACCCGTAAACGCTTTGCAAAGTAACGCGTTCGTTTTCTTTCTTTGGATACCGCTGACGGTTTCAGCTGGCCGAGAAGAGATTGAAACCGTGAGGAAAGAGGGTGGAGATGAAGTGTTGCTTTTGTAGTTTAATGGTTTGAAATTTTTACAAGTTTTGCCAATCGTGGAACAGGACGATTTAAAGCCAAGTGTCGAGTAGTACGATTTTGATACGAAAGTATGTAATTAAAGAAGATATGATGTTTTGCAATATAAGCGATATATAATAATTTTTCCTATATATTATATGTGCATAGTTTCTTTGACTTTTAGCAAAATTAATAAGACCTTTCTTTGAAGGAAATAAAGAAGCTCGTAAGATGTTTCATTTCAAGATATTATCATGCAACTCGTTATCTAAATAGGGTACTCATTGCATTTCACCACAAAGCCATAAATTTGTAGCGGCAAAATCATAAAAGTGTTGTATCGATGAAATGACTAACGTAATTTCAGCACAATTTCATGTTTCTCTCAACGTAGAATGTTTCATTTTAACGTGAACACCGAAAATAATACCAACATCTCGTCTAATATGAAATTATAATACATATTTAGGGAATAAGGGGTACAATCTGTATAAAGAAAGACATTGTACGATTGACAAGCTCTTTATATTAAAATAACACATTATGAGATTCCAAAGTTAGTGATACCTTTATAACTATTTTACAACTATCATATAAATTTTATTTTATTTCTCGCACAAGAAATTCTATTGCCACCATTCCCACAGCCGAACGATCGCGGCCAAAGGCTCGCCAGAGCGTATCGATCTTTTGAAAACCCGCACTCTTCGCTTTTTAAATGTTCCATGAAACAACGTTGTTAGTCCAGTAGAAAACCTGAACCAGTGAAGGTATATACAGCCTGGCGCATTAATTAAGACACGGACAGGCCAGTAAGAGTTGCAATATCTTGCGAGGTAGCTCGAGCGGTTTAGGATCCAGCCGTGAGAAAGACGCATCCCCGCGCATGTTTCACAATCTACATTTCACAAGGTATACGGGAGCGGATCACGTCCTCGATCGTTTAAAGCTCGATTTCCACCGGTGTCCGAGGAAAAACAGGCTTAAGTGAAAATCACAATCAAAACTTTTTGATTATCAAAGAATACGAATGTTTGTTTTGTGATTGCTAGAGTGCATTTTTATGTGAAAGCATTTATGAAAAGCATTTATGCGATATTTGAAGGTAGGAAAATTCAGATAATGCAGATAATATACAAGGATAGTATTGCTAAAGTATTAATTACTGCTTGTAACATTTAATAGCTCAAATAACTTTCTATTTAGGTTTCAGTTTTTTATTTATATTCATAAAAATATAAATTTGCGTAAATATCTGCAATTAGTGATTACGATAATAGCAACTTAACTAAGCTTTAACAGCTTACTAATTGTTTTTGAAATGAGATGAATTCATTCACAAATAGAAACATTGTGGTTAAATCTAATGAGAAATTCGAGATATTGGAGACGTTATACGTTGGTAATATAATCTTGAAACTCCTTGAACGCAAGTGAAAAGCGAACTTAAGTATCTTGTGTGTATCGCGTTCCAAAGAATTACGCGCGGTGCAGCGGGAAGAATTAAAGATCGTCTATGAAGAAAGAGGCACGATCGGGGAGGGTGGTTGATCGAGGCTAACCTGTCGTTACGCAAGCATCAACACGCAACGTTTTCATCGCTTACTCGCATAGATTTCACGTACCGTGGCTTTCATACTATACGAGCAAGATAAAAACTGTGTAATTAGAAATGTTCTCGGTAATTGGTCGAGATCGTGGTTTTGAATAGTTTAGATCGATCTAAGAAACGATATGTCGATCGAGAAAATAACGAGGTGTTCTATAATGTTTCCACTGGCATGACTCCGAGATAAGGATAGTTTGATAGCTTTGATGAATTGGGTATTGTATTGGGGATCAGAGCGATTGCAAAGGATGTAATAAGAGGATA